CAAGACTTGCACATGGGGTTAGCAGAAGGACATTTCACTCTGGTGAGCTTGTCTGCTCTCCTCCCAACCTTGGCATCTGTCATTCTTACTGTCAAAGAAGACTTTACTGGTAACTGACAGTGAGGCAAGGCCAATCTGAAAACTTGAGCTATGCAAGTGTAAGTCAACTCACTCTAGTATTGACCTATGGCCACAGTAATTATATATCAGCCTTATTTATTGTTGGCTTCAAGCTAAAAGGACAATTCCCCTTTTTTCTTTTTTTTTTTTTTTACAGATGTACAAGTTTGTCTCCATGCTGATGTCATCACTATGTAGAACAACACTGTTTGGGCCATATAGAGTAGCTAACCACAGTGCTGAAAACAAGGACTCGCTGTATCCAGCCCACTCTTTAGAAAGTCCAGCTGTAATTATAGAGTATGGGGATGCTAGATCCTGACATGTTAATTTAAGTATTTATAACGTGCATGAGCCCATTCAAAGGGGTTTTTAGTGTTTTTGAGTGACTAAGTCCTTTGCAGTCATATTACTGGATTTAGTAAACTGGAAACAGGATAGTTGGCTGAAAAGCACATGGCATCTAAGGCTCACACTGTGTGGCTGTAAGAATAATCCAGTGATCTTTAACCCATCAGTGACTGAAACTGCCATCATTTAGCCACATTTCTTTGATCCAACTATTGTTCATTCCCACCCTTTGAGAGTTTTTACATCACTGCCAACCCCACAAATTAGGGGCCTTTTGTCTCAAATTTAAATGAGTTGTAAAGATGCTTCAGAATAGTCCGTAACCTAAAATACTGTTTTAAGACTCAACCCAGCTTTTACTGAACTCAATGGCAGCAAGCCTACTGGCTTCAATGAATGCTGGTTCGGGGTCTTATTGAAAAATAGAAAATTCATAGTCCTGTGGTTTTACACATGCATGACTTTTCAGGACTTTTTATATTCCTCCTACGGGCTACTATTGTATTTAACACAGATGTACTTCATGAAGAATAGGGATACAGCAAGAAGCAACTGGGTTGGTGGCTTTGACCAGAAAATCGATCACAAATTGAACAAAGCAAAAGAGGAGGAGAAAACTATGTAGAGAAAAGTGACTGGTATTTCTAGCTGTCCATTTGGAGATATGTGAGTAACAATGATGTAGTTACCTTACTGATGAGACCCACAGAGAACTTCAGCCAAGCTAAATAGTAGCAAAACAAATGATCCCAAAATGGCTGTATTATTCCTGCCTCTAGGCTTACCAATGCATCTTGTCTTTTCCAGAAATGAGACTTTTTTGCGTCTCATTTAATGTTGGGCATAGTGTTGGTATTTAACAAAAAATTATTAACAAACAACAGTAATTAGTTATGGCTATATTTTGCTATGGATATTTTGCATTAAGTCCCATCTCCAAAGGCAGCTGTCTAAATAGCTCTAGTCTTCTTTCATTTTGAGACTGCACTGCGTTCTTCAAAAGAGAAACCTTAATTTGTTTAATGATACATAGTTAGAGAAACTTGTTATTTGACGTATAGATTTGCATTATTTAAAACAATTTATTGTTAAACTATAAATTAAAAATGCATCTAACAGCTGGGAAGTAGATGTACTGAGCTTTTCTAATGTAAAATTCCAACCTAGCATTTCAGGGACAAATACCTTTCAAAAAAATTCTCAGCTCAGTTTCTTTCTCTTACAATTTCTTTACATAATGCCTGTTTTTATTTTATTTTTTTTTCAGAATCTACTAAGGTATTCTGTCAATTTGGATATGTTTACTGTTTTTTCTTTGCTCCTCCACTTGTGAAAGCTTTTGCACAGACGCATTCCTCTTTTGGCTTGATGACTTCACATGCTTTTTCTGTCCTTTCATCCTGTGGTCACTAGTTTTACAGGGGAAGATAAGCATATACTGATCCACGGTAACATGACTTATTACCCTTGAATGGGTGGATGTTCTCAGAATGTTGGTCTCATGTCCAGCAGCCAAATACACTGGAGCTACATAGTATAATCCATGCAAAACTATGGCTCTCCTTTCTTTGTCAGATGCTCTAATAAGAAAAGAAATAACATTGCATGCTACATATTGTAAAACTGATGCATTGTAATTTCCTGAGAAAAACAACAGTTCTGGTTATGACTAATCTCCTGAGCTTGTTCTGGTTAATTTAGTGTCCCACTGATTGAGCAGGAATCACTGATCCAAAAAGTGATCAAGATCACGCTGAGTTTTAGGGTCTCATTTTAACTCAGAGCAGCATAGGGATCACTGAACAGTGGGGGAAGCTGAATACAATACTTCAATTCTAGACTGAGACATAACAATGGCAAAATAAAAAAATGCATCTTTTAATTCAGACTCATAAGAGGCAAGCAAGGCAGCAGGTAGATCAGTGATACCACAGGTTAATCTACATTTTGTTCCACAGTTTGCTGCACTTTGCCAGGAGTACATCCAGATACACTGTGACTTCCTGCAGTATGCTGCAGCATGAGATACCAAACATTCGAATGTCAGTGATATGGGCTCCAGAAATACTATTGCTAGATAGATTAGAAAAGATGGATGCACTATGCTGCACTAAATGGGATTATTTCAGCATTAGCCTACATTCTCCTGCAGTATCCTCTTCATTACATGTGCTGTTTATTTCTTACACCATTATGCTGCATGCTATACTGTACTACTGCAAATGTTTATCATTTGTGCAATGCACACTTCAGCAAACTTGCAGTCAATTGAAGCTAGCTGCACAGTGTCACAGCAAATAAAATGGATCTCTGCTGTTACACATCCTTCTTGCAGCCATACAAGGCAAAAGGGGTCCCCCAAAGAGTCACTGCTGTGCAATGTATTCTTTGAAAACTAGTTTTCAAAGAATGCATGTTCACAGAAATACCTGCTCCACACAGCCAAATAAATGTATCCTGGTGATTGAAATGGCATGTGCGTTTAAGCTGGCACAGCATTCTGGAAAGGGGATGGCAGTAGCTATCCACAAACCCAGTGGGCAAAACTGCAGCTCAGATCTAAGGCTATGGAGCACAGACTTAGATTATGTTACAGCATGAGAGTGTTGATATAATGCCAGGGCCTATGGAAACCATTTCTGTCTTCCTGAAACCAGTGACCAAACAGTCAACTGCCCAAAAGTGTTTTTTTAAGGACTGGAACAGATAGATATCCTTTTGCTGGGGAGGATAATCATTCAGAGTCCAATCTGGGAGACTTGTCACTTACTACATTTCAGGATTCAGGATAATATCTGCCAGAAGCATGGGTCTGCTCATTGTTCCAATACTGCTGTAGCTGCCCATGGTGAGTGAAGATGGGCCCGACGTTCTCTCCTGTTCTTCATCTCCTTGTTGTTTATTGCATAGCTCCTTTGCTGTTGAGTGCAACTTTGACAGTGAACTGGCTGCTCTTAGCTGTTGATACTTATTACACGTGCAAGTTTTGTGTGTGCAAGGTGTTCTACACAGGCTAACCAGGATCCTGCCCAGAGGAATGCTTTCCAATTGGCTTAATATTCATTAGTCATGTCTTTATGAGAGACAGCAAAACAAATCCCAATTTGATCAGGCTGTGAAATTAAATCCTTTCAATTTTGACCACTTCTACAATGACTAAGATAGAATTGGGGGGGGCCTGGGCAGGGAAGGGATTGGAGGGGCTCAGGGGGCTGGGGCCAGGCGGGGCAGGGATTGGGGTGGCTGGGGGAGCAGGCAGGGCTGGTGGGGGTCCCCACCCATGGTCCCCTCTCTCCTTCTCCAGCCCTCCAACCCATTACTTACTGGCAATGGAGCCTGGGTCCAGACCCCTGCTGCTTCAGCACCAAGGCAAGGGCTAACCATAGAGATGCTCTGGCAGCCAGAGCATCTCTGTGGAGGACTCTCCTCTGGTTGCCTCAGGGCACGGTCTGGGACCATTCCCTGCCCTGCTTTTTTTTTTTCTGTGGTGTTTTTTGACCCCTGGCTATCCAGGGGTCTAATTTTGCCCCTGTGCTGCAAATTTGCAGTGTGGGGAACATTTTCTCGTTCCTGCATGTGCCTCTTGCAGCGTCTCAAAGGGTTTTGAGATGCTGCAAGAGACACGTGCGGGTTCGTCTGGATGCACCCAAAGAGTATCTAGGAAGTGTGGCATCAGGAAATCAGGAACTTCCTGGTGTGGCAAATGCTCTTCTGCAATGCCACACTTCTTGGACACACTGTAGGTCACACAAGGTTAAACCCTTGCAAAGAGGTGTAGTTGGCCTGTTACTTCTTTACTGTAAGTAGGTCTTTAGATAAGTTCCTATAAATAAACTGTTGTTTCTACCTCATAAGCCTTATCAAGATATTACCAACAGCTCTTTTCTTGCTTCAGGCACAAACTAACTACGGCTGTGAGAGGGTAACACAAGATCCCCCCCTCTTAGTTCGCTTAGCAGACCCAAGCAGCGACCATCTTCACAGCTGCATGGTATGTGAAATGTGTCAAGGCAGGCTCCTTTTCCAGCAAAGAAAACAGTTTCCCTGCTTAAAATATGCACCCTAATTTTTATTTATTTTTCTGGGGGGGAGAGGGGCTCGGTTTTAGGGGAAAAGGTATATGTTGTATGTGAGACAATGTGCTAGTCTCAATTCTGTGAAGTGGAACAGTTTTAAAAGCTGGCATTAGGAGAAGGAAAAAGCCAAGAAAGATATTCTTCCAAAACAGGGAATTTTAATCTTCAGTTTCCTGTCTCTTGTTTCATCTAATTCTTTTGCTCTTCATTGAAGCAGAAAAGTAGTTTTTTCAAAAGGAAAAAACTCGCCTCCAAACCCACAAATCTGTTACTTTTTGTGCTTAAAGATCCAGCTTTACAGCAACAATATAGGTAGTTCTTGCCCTAATACTCATGCAAATATTGTTTCATGATGCAATTGAATATCTGGGTACTGAAGACGCAATAGAACCAATGCATAATGAGCCAGTCCATGGAACTCGCTACCAAAATATATTGAGGAAAAGAGGTTAGTAGCATTCAAAAGAAGGACTCGCCATTTATTAAGAAAAATTTGCACATCCACAGAAATACTAGCTAGATGGAAGATGGGTAAAAGATATATACCCGCCCTGCTTAATGCTATACCAATCAGCGTGTCTCTGAGATCAGGCAGAAAATTTCTGCAAGTGCAGCTGCTACATAATTGTCCATGATGTGAGTTTTACATCTTCCTCTGGGGCATCTTAAGTAGGCTACTGATTTAATGGGACCTTTGATTTAATCCCGGGTGAACCATAATCCCTCATCACAAAACAGAAAACAAAACCACAGGAGAGAATAAGCCATCCCAAAAAGATAAACTGGCAAGCAGTTCTAGGGCTGGGCTGTGCCCTCAGAAGGTGCTAGGGGGTGCTGTGGGTGATTATCTCTTTCAGGGAATGCTAGAGTGGTCCAGGCTGGAAGATTCCCCATGGCTGATGCCTTGGACCTCAGTGGAAGAGGTGAGGCTCCTTCATAAAATGCTTTTGAACAAGGGGAAAAATGAGCCTCTAAGAAGGTTTCAAAAGGATGCTATGTCCAATTTAATGGATGGTACTACTGCATGCCATTCAATTTGCTGCCTTGTGGAAGGACAGAGATGACAAAAGGTGGAATGTCAGTCCTAACCACAGCACCTTTACTTATAAAAACAGGTGGGACTTGACTGGGACCCCATTACCTCATTGCTTCTTTATGGATTCCCATGTAAAGAAATTTAAGAGCAGTTTCAGGTGAAGCAACTTCAAATACTAAAGCATATGCTGATTTAACATAGAATATTTGAAAGCAGGCTATTCTGTCACAGGGTATAAAGGGGATTTACTATGAGTGTATTGCTTTGTACTGCCCTTGGTTTAAGGTTTCCACTCAATGACACGGATGGCAATTTTTGCTGCTCTTATCACAGCCTCGCTGGGGTCATTCAGTTGCTTTTGAAACAAGCCCACATGGTTCAGTAGTGTCTTGCGACCCTCAGGTGCCTCAGCCAGTGTGGTCAGGGCTTTGATTGCATTCAGGCGAACCTTGCTGGTTTCACTGTTAACCAGCTTCAGTAAAGGTGGGATGGCATCTGCACCCAGGGCTGCATATTTCCCTGAACAAAACAGAAATGGGCTTAGATTATATTACAGAATACAATCAGATAAACAGCTAATGAGCCAAGATCCATTAATAAAGAGCCAGAATTGTGGGCTATGGATAGACCTTCCACTGTAATTTTTGGCTCCTGATTTTTAACACTTCTAAGTCTGAAAGCTCAGAGCTGAGGATTTTGGTTCAGGCTCATCTCTACTGAAGACCATAGAAATCATCCATTAGTAAGAGAGTGACGGAGTTACTTTAGTCCTCTCTCTGCTTTTCATGTTTGTTTGTTTTTTCACTTTAAAATAAATCACTTAGATCTAAAAAAGACACCAAATGATAGGCTACTGTGTTCCTCTGGGAGAGTACCCTAAGGAACACCATGCGTTCTTTTCTTTTTTTAAGAGACTTTAAATACTTGGAGCCACTCCTGTGTCAACTTTCAAAGCAAGGAGGACATTTGCAGAGGAGGGCTGGAGCACAATTGCTGTTATTAAGAATTCTCGTATGTCCAATTACACATTCATCACCCTGAAAATTTGCCGCTAGCATTTTCAGAGTCATGTGTCTGACTTTGCCAAGAACTTCTTCTGCATTTCTCCAATTCTCACTCTTCCCCTGGGTGTTAGGGAGGAAAAATCCTCTTTCACCACACATGGAAACTACGGGGAAATAACAGGAAGCTTATTAATTCTGATTCTCAGCTGGGGACTGTGAGTTTAGGGCAGCCTCTGGGGGTGGGGACTCCTTTGGACAGACTACTAACAGACCTTACTGCTTCCCTCCTCCCTGTTGAAGGAGGATGGCACTAAACACATTCCCCTCTGCCAGGGTAAAACCTTTGTGGGTGCAGGGACTAGCACCACAACAGGAGCTAGTGGAGTGAATCACAGTTCAGTTATGCTTTAATATAGACACAAGGGAGAGAGCAAGGTACCTCAGGGATGGACTTAATGGACTGCCCTGCTTTTGCTAGTTTCTGCAGTAACTTTTGCATTATCCAAACCTCACATTTTTTTTTTTCTTTTTTGATCTAGTTTAGAAAGTGATGAGCTAAAATATCAGCTCATCAAATGGCTTGTGCTGGTAGCTGCACAAGGAAATAGCCCTAGCTGGGGCTGTCTTTCTCTTTCCCTTACCTTGGGTTGTAATGGTGGCATTTGTCAGTGTTCCTGCTGCATTGGCGCAGACCTCAGGGTGTGAGTCTTCTAACAGTTTGACCAGCACTGGGATAACCTCTTCACTCCACACGGTGTTTTTTCCTTCCAGAGGGACACTGAGGATGAAGCAATGTTAGTTTGCTTTCTGTGTCACTGTCAGTGGCTTCCTTTAGGAGATGGCCAGAGTGATAATGCAGAACCTCTTCTATTCCATTTGGAGTAAATGTTTGCTGAATGTTAGGGGCACTTTAAATACCCAGGCCTCAGTTACAAACCAGAGAGGGACACAACTGTTTGCTGCAGGGGGTTACTGTTAAATGTAAGTGGAGTTGTTTTGGTGACATCAGCACTGTCATGAGACTGGGTTTTTTGGACTTCCCAAAGCCAGCTGCATCAAAAACTCAGCTGTTGGATGTTCAGACTGTTTTTCTTAAAGAGCACCCAACTATAGATGGTGCTTTACAGGTTATACTAGGTCTCTGTTGTGCTCTGGACTGCAGGCTAATTCTTGCATGTGATAGAAAAAACATCTGCTGTAAACATAATCCATGAGTGGTGATTTTTAAGACTTAAAAGGAGATGCTTGGTATGCTACTGGGTACTCTTTCATTAAGAAGGACATACTATATTATAGCTAATTGCTCAGGTTCTGTATGGGCTCAGTGTAGCTCAATATTTTTTATACACATCAGTGACCTATGTGTGGACCTACACCTGCACAGCACTATGCCATTAATAACAGCTTCTACTTATATTGTATATTTCATCCTGAAAGACTCTAAAGTGCTTTGCAAACTTCACTGATATATACATAGACCATTTTGCCCGCTGCTGAAATGCAGCCACCCCTGTGGTGAAACACAGCAACCATTTAACAGTACCTTATAACTGATACTGTATAATAGTCTGCTAGACTATGAAAAATTCTTTATCCAGTACATTTAGGTAGGCAGAAAATAATTACCAGGGCTCTTATTGTAATATTCTTTTAGGAAAAAAATATTAATGTAATTACAAGTGGACAGATCTTTGGTTTTACCTAACATCTATACAAAATGCTATGTCTAGTAGCTATGCACCAGACTGGGGCATAACTTCACTACTAACAAGGGGCAGGTGTGGGGGAAAAGCACCATCTATGGAGTTGCCAGCATAATTTTCTAGGACAGCTAAATCATCTCTGGAGGTGTGACAAGTTTAAAGTAAGACATGGCAAGGACTCCAACTAGCTCCCAAGATTTGGTCAGTAGTTACTAGTTAGGCACTGTCTGGGGACAGTCCTTTCCTTCCCTCACCTGATTACCAACAGGACACGGGCAGCTTTGCTTCTGATGGCCACTGATTCATGAGTGAGCCTGTCCTTCAGAACGGGAACAGCACCAGCCATCAGAGCTGAGAAAGCATCTACAAGCAGGCAGTTGGCGAGTGTGTCCAATATGAGTTCCTGGATTTCATCCAGCTCGGTTTTCAGTTTATGTACAAGCGAGGGAACCAAACCGTTTTCTACTATGCCAGCAGCACCTGCAGGAGTAGACAGGAAGGGACACAAAGTGCTAATGCATTTAATGCTTCTATCAACACTCATAAATTGGCTACCGAGATTAAAATTTATTCCTCTTCAGCAGAGTGCTGTTGGGAGACAGAGACGGTTGTGACTGTGGAATCCTCAAACAGCTATTTCTGCATCAGTCCCTCAGTATTTACTAAGGACATTTCACCTCTTTTTCTGTTTGCAACCTGTAAGCAGCTTGCAATTTTCTCCACTGTATCCAACAGTGCTGTGCCCTTCTACTCTGTTCTCTGTGTGACATATGCAAGGAGAGCCCCACAAATGCTCTACACGCAGGGTGTTCACACCATTTCCTACAATGACTTCAGCTGGGGGAGACTCAAACTGTGTTGCTCTGATCCTCCCAATATCCACCACTGCAGTATTCCTCCGTACAATGACTCTTGCTGAGAGATTACAGGATTGCAATAGCTCTGATCCTCACCATTCCCACATGAAGAGATGCTCAGTAAAGTTGTGAAATAAGAATCTATGAGCCCTCATAGCCAGTTCTAATATCAAACTCTACTATTTTTCCTGGGAGAGACTAAGGTTTGAGAATTATTCCTTGCAATAATATATAGAGGGGGAAATGGAATTTGTGCTTCCCAAAAGAGAGTCCTTCTGGCCTATTTCTTTGTGTAAGCAGGGCTATGGAGTAGCTGTAGTATGCCCAGCAAGTTCAGTCTCTGCCACTGGCCAAGTGGCTGACTTAAAGTGTTCCATTTCTTATGCAATACTAAGCCAACATTGAGACAGCATTGCCATGGAAAAGCAGAAAGCAGAAGAGAACACATTGTCCACAAGTAACGATGTAAAAACAAAATCCTCGGCTGTCTGGTTGCTAAGACCAATTCTTCGGTTGCTAAGAGAAATGTTGCTCCATTTGAAGTGATTCATATATGGTTGGATAAGGAAATTTGGTGTATGAGAGAGAACAGGGTTTCTTCCAAGCAATTTCCCCAGTCGGGGAATAGTTGAACCTTTAACTCAAATACAGGCAGGGGAAGGGATTTTAACAATCTTTGGTAACTCCTGGGAAAAAATTCTGCAAGTTTGCAGGCTGAAAAATGTGGCCTAATCTATGTATAGCACAGAATAAGCCCTACTCTATAGCAGAGGTTTCGCTGACATTGAGTAATTTCTTATGTCATTAGCTTGCTGGGTTTTACTTGCCTAATGCAGACGCAATGACAAATGCTAGAGTGATGGCGTAAGAGCTTTTACTATCTGTGTGACATTTGGAAAGCAGATGCTGTGAGAATATAAAACAGTAAAAAATAAAAAGGAAATTAGATCCATAAAAATCATGCTTGCAAGCCAAAACTAAGTGATGCTGTAAGGTAAGGCTAGCATATTGTGTCACTGTTTTCTCACTCCTGCTTATATTCTCTCTCTAACATCAGGTATGGGTGAGTCACTGGAGGGGGGAGTGATGTTTGAAGGCAGGATATGCAACTGGCCATAATTTTTCATTTTTTCAACTTTAATCTAGTTTTATTTTTGTTTCCCTTTTCAAGCATGAAGGGTAATAAACCCCCATGGACCAGATGCTGGCATGAGGCTCCATCTCATTGTGTGTGGCTCTGAAGGGGCCAATAGAATGGTTGGCTGCCCTAATGGGGTGGCTAGAGATTCCCCTGGTGGATGACATAAAGCCCAATCGTATGACACTGTCATTTACTCATGGTTCATTTCCATGGGGGCTGTGTTGGAGAAAAGGCAGCGGATGATGAAGGTGCAGCTGAAAGCAGCCAAGGACACCTGAATGGCACAATGGTCTCTAGAGAGCGACTTCTACAAAGGTAACTGAAAGTCAACCTTAGGTTGCTCAAGATTACACTTAGGGCTGATCCAGCCACGTTTTCCTACAAGTTAGTCTCAGGAATCTGCTTCCTTATGTTGTGAAGTCCTTTTGAAGTAGGTTACATAGCATAAGTTTTTTTCAGGGTCGGCCTTTCAAAACCAGCTTCCAGCCTCTAAACCCGCTTCCGCAGTTCTTCCTGTGAAAAATCTGCATGTGTGACCATTGGCACATGAGGCACGGATCCCCAGACTGATTACATGAACAGCTCCTGGTAGCTGCCCCTGCAGGTATGTTATACAAATCACTGTATGTGCCATGCCTAGCGTACAATTTCAGAGCAGGATCGGGAGGCAGGAGAAAGTTTAGCCAGCAATCTGATGGTCACTGCAGCAGCTCCTTGCTTCCTATAGAGTTGCTGTGCTAGCTGTTCTGTGATATTTTCAAACAGAAAACATATTTGGACATCTTGACCTTAAAGTAATTTCATTTGTTCCAGATAAGATACCATACTGAATGCACAATACAAAAATAAATAGAAGTAATGAGGAACTGAAGTTAAAAGCTCCACACGCCTCACCCTTTCAGGCTCTGCCTGTAGTTTTAATTCACGGCTGTCCTGCTCTTCCCCAGGCAAGGGTCACAGTCTAAGCATTAACCTTTCATAAGACAAACATGCTTCTCATATACTAGAGCTGAGGCTCTGGTATTAGCCAAGAAAAGATCATTCCATTTTTGTTTTCCTTCTGTCTGTTACTATGCCTGCCTATACTCTCTCCCCCTGTCCTCTCAGATAAGACTGTTTTCCATTAATCTTTTTCTGCAAAGCAGCTTATTAGTTCTTTCTCCAAATATTTGCTATGCATCTCTCTCTGCTTTTTATCCACCACCTTCATTTTAATTTTTCTCTCCTTTTCACTCCTTTTTTGTGGTTTGCTACCTTCAAGATCTGGGGTCTACCATTTCTTCTTCTTGCAGCTATCTAGAGGCATCTTTTGCTACATCTCAACATTTGTGCTCTGTGTCTTTCTGTTTAGATCCTTCGCTTCTCACCTCTGCACGTTATATTGATCTCTTCATCCACACTGCACCATTTCCACTGGCCCTTGAGTTTTCTTCTATCAGTTAATGTTTATTGACTTCATCTAACTCAGTCATCTCTTAGCCCCTCTATTTTTCCTCATGCTGCCTTACTGTTGGTGATGGTCCCTCTTATTGCACTTCTGAGAGCAAATGTATGTCACAGCCATTTGGTTCCTTCCAGTTCCAGAGATCTGGCTAGGGATTGTAAGCAGCATCCTATTTATACCATGCCAATAAATAGTAGTTATTTAAATAGCTCTGTGATTTCTACTACGAGGTATTTTAGAATATTGCCTTTGCCTGATTAATTGACACTTCTTTTATGCAAAGACTTTGGAATACTTCGTTTCTAACAGTCATCTGCTGTGCCCCTGTGTTCTGTCTCAATAGGGGTCTAGACTTGGCCCCAAGACTTTTCTACGTGGCATCCAAAACCATGCAGCTTGATAGGCATGTTACCATGTTAGTAGAGGCACTTCCACAATTATAAATGCGGTCTAGGAAGATGGACTGGTCCATCAGCTCAAAAGTTTCACTGAAGTCAAATAAGGTGGGGGCAGAGAAACTGCTAACAGCAGTTAAAAAAAAAAAAGAGTAATTTATGGTGAGAGTGAGAGATTAAAAGAACAGGAAAAAGGAACAAAAAGTAATTGGTGGAGAGTTGTAGAGGAGATGCTTGCAAAATTCCAGCAATTTTAGGCTGGAAGGGAAGGTAAGCAGTCTTCATCCAACATCCTATACTGCTTAGAAGTGCAGTGGCATCCCATGAGGACTCAGTCTTCCACTGAAATAGTGTTACTTCACAGGTGAGTAGCCTGGTGCCACAGCAGAAATGTGATTTGTCCTGTGTAACACATACAGTGGGAGCAGCGCAACGGAGAGGAAAACAGTGCTGTAAAATGCAAGTTGTTGCCTTTGCAATTGCATAGTTAACATTAGTATTGATCTGTTTTTCCTGTGAACTTGTGTTCTTCCCTTGGGCTGCTCTCTATCTCAGCACTCATCTCCTCCCCCTCATAGCCCCCTGGCTATTCCCATACTCTTTTTTTTCCCTGTCGCTTTTTTTAAAATAGACTCAAAGAGGAGTTGCCATTTGCTCTGTTCTCTTAATATAGCTGCAGGTCAGATAAACAAATGAAATTTTGTACAGGAATAAAGAACCATTTACTAAAAATAACAGTATTTTCTTAATTACCTAAAGCAATTACATTACATCGTGTACCCTTTTGCTTACAAATGTCAGGTTTTAAATCAAAGTCTTTTTGACAAAGATGCTATTTTTAATGAGAAGCCTGTGCAAAGCCATGGTTAGTCCGTATCCTACAGTATAATGCAAATGTTAAAGCAAATGGTACAATCTTAACACCAATTCTATATATTATAACAGTACAAGTTTCCTTTGCTTTATGTGGGTTCTGTTCATTCGTTATATGTGAGGTAAATTCACTCTTATGTGATCGGTGTGGTGGAAGCCCGCAGTTAGCTGCTTTGTGCGGTGCATTGTGGGAGTGACACACACCAAAATATAGTCTCCTGTGGGGATCTGTGCTCCTCGCTTGTTGTCTGTGACACATGTTTCTGTAGTTGCCATCCCCATTATGCTAGTGCCCTGTGCTTGTGTGTAGTCTTCTGTTGGTGAGTACCAAAATTATCTTGTAAAAGTGGTAGAAATGGATCTGGGGGTCAGTACCGTTGAGGTCTTGTAATGTATCCCTATTTGTTACATTGTAAAGTTGGTTCCCTTTATGCAACTTCGAATTATGCATCATGTTCTAGGAAGGCATGTACAACATAAAGTGAGAGAAATCTGTATTTGCTAACATAACTGACAGTAGTTTGATGAGTATGCATTTAAAATCCCTCTCAACCTGGAGAAGGACAGAAAACTGAGAGGAACCAGAACCATCAACAAGCAGAATGAAGGGTATTGCTGTACTTTGCAGCCTGCAACAGTCCTCATAGTGGCACAATCTAGTATTGGCAATCTCCTGTAGACAGCAGTTGAAAAAGTCCAACATGGGAGGCCACCAGCTGCTGGAAGCATTTAAAGGAACCTGTAATAAAGCCTCAAACTTTGGCAGCAAC